AAAATGAATAAATGTACCTTGATGTAAAAACATCTCGCGTGTCTCTTGCCTTTGCAGTTCACATTAATGAGGCAGAAACGCTGCAGCTAAATCTGTAGCCATAAGAGTTTGAGTACAAGATGTTGAAGGAGCTAAAAATACGAGCTGAAGTATTCTGGCACAGACAGGGGTCTGGTGCAAAAGTGGAAGAGGAGTTACAAATTTAACCCGACTCCAGGCTCACAATGAGACAGTGTTTGAGTGAAGGAGGTTTGTTTGTTACTAACAATAACCGTGATGATCGGCCACTGAGCACAGATTGGTTTCCACTTAAAAAATGCCCAGAGACACCATTAAAAAAACTGTTGCCAAAACAACAATAAACTATTACATACGTCAAGTAGGTCAACAACGTAGTCATGTTGTCTTTGTCCAACTACAGAAAACTAAACAAAACAAAAACAAAATTACTAAAAATATCAACACTAGTGACAGGCAACGTGAGGCTGTTTCTGTACAATTTAGTAATTATGAAAGTACAGTATATATATATATAATAGTATGTGTACAGAAGGGTTGAACAGTATGAGTTATACAGACTGAGAGGTTTTTGTTGCTTTGTACTTGTAAGAACATTTTGAGCCATTTTAACTATAAATCCACTCCAACTGATTTCTACAATCAGTTAATGCCGTTTTATTTTACTTTTTCTAACCAGTGATTCAATTATTCAGGGCTGAAATGTGTCCTTTACTTGTTGATCACAATAATGAAGTATGAATGGAAGTTAACCCTCAGTGTTAAAGAAACAAAATGAAGGAGAATATTTTGAATAACCATCAGAAAATCCACAAAGATTCCAGATCTGTGCTCCACAGAACCACAGTTACGTTTAATCTGAAAAGAACATCAACACAGGTCAGAACTGTTGTTTCAACAGTACAAAGAGGTTCAGTAACACTGAAACGTAAACACACTGAAACATTTCACTTGACCGTTTTGGTCAAAAAGAAAGTCTGATTACAGGCTGACAGCTCTGTGTGAAGAAGAACTGAACATTAAATATGAACAAAGATCAGGCTTCAGTTCTGGTTCATCCTAAAATAAAGGTCACATACATGATTTCACAAGTAACAAAACTGTTGGTTTCACAACAGTTCAATCAACAACACTAAACTTAACAGTGATTTTTTTTTTAAGGGTTGAGTAATGTGATTGGATGCAGCTGGTAGACAGCTCCACCCATGTTTCTGCTGCTGGGCTCTGCCATCTCCATCCTGACAGAAGGGTCAACCTACAGCGGAATAATAAATAATAATAAAATACAACAGACTAAGAATGTGTTACAAAACTGGGAAATAAAAAGGGATGAAGGAACAGCGTGACCCACCTGGTTCCATTTCCCCCATTTCTCGTAGTAAATTGGAGCGATGTTTTTTCTTGGTGACGACTTGATGAAAAGACTACATTTCAAACAACAGAAGGTTGAATAATAAACGCCAACAATAAAACACCAAAAACAATAAATAAATAAACTAATAAATAAGTATGCTACATTTAAAGCCTCGGGCAAAGCAAAAGACGCCCCCCCACTGCCCTCTGGTGGCTGAATACCTTTCAGGGTTAACACATTTTTTATCATGGACATTGTGATTTTTTTTTCATTTTAGCTCGATCCAAACTGGCACGCTGCTTTTGTAGTTGTGCAATAAACCACTGAACAAAGTACTTGGTCATCTACCTTCTGACAGCAAGGCCTGCTGGGAGGTTGTCAGACAAGGGCACCAGTCACTGAGCTACTGCCTCTACTGTTACAGCAGGGTACAGCACTGCTGACTGGCATCAGTTTTCAAAGCTCCATACACTTTGACATTGGTCTGAACTTTTGATTTTTGTAGGTGTACACAAAGTGTGTGTGTGTGTGTGTGACCTTATCAGCTGCTCTCGACAGTCCTCCTGCAGACGGCTGATCTTGTTTGGTCCTAGGTGCAGAGTTCCACTGGGTCCTTCACACATCAGACGGTTGATGGCCACTCTCAGGGCATTTATCTGAGAGACAACACCCACAACAGAAAGATGAGACCAACATGAACCCTTTTATTTCAATGAGTTTCCAGAATTTATTTTAAGTCTGTTTGTTCAACCTGGTCTGTTTTCAGGTTCATGGACTGAGTCCAGAAATCTCCACATTAGAGCAGGAGGAGAAAATGTTGACATTTTAAAATTATTACTCAGACATTAGTCAAGGTTCAGTTACAGGAGGAATTTTTCCTTTTGACTCACCCAGGTTAGACTGGAGGTATGAACAAGTAATGCATATTGAAACACAAATTGTTTTGAACTTTTTTTTATCCCTCTTTGGTTAAAACTATGATATTAACACACCTGTCAAGGCAACACATGAGTCAAATATTTTCTCTTGTCAGACTGTACTGATATAACATTTTAATATAGCACTGGTGGAGTGTGATTTGTACTGATGATAACAGTCACTATTATTTTCAATGACTTCTGGAGACAGCTGTTACCTCTATGATGTCCTCCACGTCCAACATGACGTCAAACGTGAGCTCCATGTCATGGTCCGGCAGCATGGCCTCCTGTGAGTGAGCGTCCCAGCCCAGTCCACAGAGAGCACCGGTGTAGCAGGTCCCCTCCTCATTCATACTGAGAGGAAACGCACATCTTTATCTGACTGTGCTGGACTTCACAGGTGAAACCATAAAGTCTGGGAGTCCAACTCACCGCAGCTCCATGACAGGAGTGAAGAGCATGGTGAGGAGTGCAGGGAGTCCAGGAATGTCGGGCATGAGGGAGGTGTCTCTGAGGAGAAAATGTGAACCTGCGAAAGAAAGGCAGCTGCCGGAGCACGTTCAAAGAGCAGAGGGCTGGAAAAACAAAGAGCTCAAACCCAGGACAGCTGTTTTAACGCCATTACAAAAAGCAGAAAGGGAAATTGGGGATTAAATACGCCCCCTGTTGTAGGATGTAGTTAATGCAATAATGTTTTGGTTAACCTTCGTAGCCCATCAGTGAAAGAAGTCAGTGACACAATGTTGTGTTGCAACAATTTGGCTAAAGCTAAAGAATTCTCATGAGCACATTAAGGATCACTACATTTTTAACAGTACACATGATCATGTCTAGATGCCCGTGGCCTAGTGCAAACTACGGCCCGGGGGCCAGATGCAGCCCGTATAGCTTTTTGATTTGGCCCACCAAACTTTTCCAAATGATATATAGCTTTTTAATTCGGCCCACCAAACTTTTCCAAATGATATTATAATTTATTTTATATTAACATTATACTTCTACCTTCTACCTACCTTCTACCTGCAATACCCACGTTTCCCCAATAGATGGCGCTAAAAGCATTTTCGCCTTTATGCATGAGTTTTACATGTCATTTATCTTAGTTCACACTAACTAAGATAAATCTCTCTGCTCCTGACCCGGCCCCCCCGTTCAATTTTAGGACAATCGTGTATATATAAAAATCGTTCTGTACCCGTGGAGCTGACAGACACGGTCCCAGCCACCAACATCCTCTGATGTTTGTAGTGAAGATTTGGATTCAAGGCCAGGGAGTTGATGCTGTACTTGTCAACCATCACCGACCTGAACAACATCACAGACCAAAATAATGATAAAAAAAAGATCAATAATCTTAACGTGGTGCTGTGAAGTGATTTGAACCTCACTTGTAGCAGGCGTTCCGTCTCAGGCTGACCCTTATCTGGTAAGGGCTGGTAGGTCCAATCAGGTGAACCTGGGAGGCGGGAAAGAGGGAGAGAGGGAGAGAGAGAGAGAGAGAGGGTGAGAGAAAGAGAGAGCTATGTTATACATTGATACCAAATCTTTTTCTAAACGTCTTTGACTGATTTCTAAATTCCGTGGTTCAGATGGTCTCCTGCCTTTTTCACAGCATAAGATTGACCGTTCTTAGAAAAGTGAGCGATCAGATCGTCGATGAGGTTTTTCTCTGCTTGGTTGCGATCCTTCCAGTAGCCTTTGATGACACTGGGGACGTAGGTCCCTGCTTCTACCTTCTTGTACAGAGACATCAGGTCCTCGTGGTGTTGCTGCCAAAAGAACAAAACGTCTTGACTCAGAGGAAAAAAAACAAAACAAAAAAATCAACAACAGTTTGACAGATGTTGATGAAAGGAATTTACATCTGACCTGTTGTCATTGACTAAACTCAAATTAATTAAGCTCTCAGGGCTTCATCTGTATCGAGGTGAATGTATTGACTTATGTTTAAGGATAAATGTGCGACAACCATTAACAGAAGAAAGTCAAACGTTTTTTTTTTTTTGTTTGTTTTAAATTACGAGTGACGTTTCCATCAGAGAAGTCATTCTTTGTATAACTCTGCGTGCTGTTATTCACACCAGGTCACATCCTTGAGCTCCAATTATAAAGTGGGCACTTGATTGGTTAAAATTGATGTGTTGTAATTTCAAAGCTGTTGGAAACTCCGGGCCAACAACCTAAGCTTTAGTCACCTTTGACGCAAAACACTCTTCAACCTTTATGGCATGTCCTTCCTTCACCAGGAGGTCCACCACGCTGGTGTTGGTTGCTTTGGCGTTGATGAACAGATGAACGCGCATCACGTTGTGGAGAAACGAATAGAGCGACACCAAAAGCGTGTTTCCTTTCACCAAAGTGTGGAAGAAGTCACGGGCTTTGCTGCTCCACTGTTTACCCAGGATGATGGACTGAGTCGAGGGACGCATTCCACAAACCTGGAACTCATGAGCCTGGAAAACCATCAAGAACAATCGAGTGTTTCAAAGATTGAAAAGAGAAACTGATTTTTTAACTACACTTTCTACCATGAACGGCTGAGACAGGAAGTCAGACGGCAGCTCTCTGAGGCCGCTGCAGGAAACAACCTCTCTGTTACCAAAGTCCAGGAAGAACACCTGCAGAGAAACAGGAAACAATAAGGTGGCTAACACAACTGCTAACAGTCAATGTCAAAAAAAGTTTCCTGAGTGAGAAGAGTTTTTACAAACTGGTGATTGAGTCGCTTTAATTAACGTCAATGATTAGTCACTCGTCCACTTATGGGTTCTTAAGAAATTAAAAGATTATATTGTCAAATTAATTTCACCTTTAATTAGCATCCTACCAGCAGAGGGCGTACATTATTAAGGAACACCAACAGTTTTGTGAGTGTTGTGACTTCAGACTGACTTCCATAAAGGCAGTGATTCCTAAAAGTATTTCATGTGTTTCTAGTTTTTGGTTTTTGTCTGATGCTGAAATAATTCTCTTCTTTCTTCTTCTTTACACGAACATCGACCCCAATAATAATCAGAGCAACGCAGCCTTTATTATAGAAAAGAAAGTGTTTACCAGCTGCCTTTTTTTAATGCCGTTTTACTCTGATCTGAATTGTCCCACAGCTATATGTGTAAAAATACAAACATAACTACAGAGAATCCAGGTTCTATATTTCAGAACAGATGAATCAGTGTTTTCTATCCTTGTCAGAAAACTGCAGTATGAAGTGAGTATTTCAGTACCTCCACTGAACTGCCACGTGTGTGCAGTATCTTGGCACGGTAGTACAGGCTTTGATCACTGTTCTCAGAGTAAGGAGCCAAACACATCAGGTTTGGATACAGAGACACAGACAGTGGAGTCAGGGTGTGTCTGTTGATCTCAGCCGTCAGGACTCGCTGCTTCTCCAAACTGGCTTCATCTGACAGGAAGCCCCAGAAACGTCCCACCTCAATCACCTGGAACCCAGAGCAGAGAGTCATTACACATGTCAACATGTAGTATTCTCTGTAGTTCTCTACAGTATCTTTTTTTTTACCTCAGTGATGTTGACCACGAACAGCCGGTTGGGGGGCAGCTTTTCTGGATCAGTGCTGCTGTTCCTGGCTCGTACCAGGTCAATAGACTGGTTCTCAAAGTCTGCTGTTACTCTGTATGAAAATAACCATCAGCGGTTGATGAGTTCACTGTGTTCCTCCTACCATTAACTCCACTCTCAGTTGAAGTTATTTTATTACAGGCACAGAACTGCTCTACGGCTGTTTCAGTAAAAAAACTATATCCTATACTCTATCTGTTCTACTTACAAAAAACAATGTCTCCACATAGTCAGATGGGCATAAACACACACACAAAATCGGGAAACATGTCACGTCAAAAAAAGCAGACATAAATATCTACATTTTTAAAAAGATTTAAATATTTTTGCAACCACCACAAATATCACTGCTAATATATTTTACTACCCAAAAATACTTTTGAAGTCTTTGAACAAAGGCACTTTAGAAAATAGTGGTTTATATTTCATGTTAAAATTATGCAATATATGTAGATATAAATATAATTTGCAGAACATATTCTATAAGTTGCTAAAGCTGCACAATATTGAATCACAATGTACTTGGTGCAACAGTTGTAGTAAAACAATACCCTGCGTATTTCACCGGAGTAGAACTTCTGTTTCCTGCACACTTTTCTATCAGTTCTGTGGGGTAAACAGAGAGCTCCAGTCGAGACTTTTGTTGGGCCAGGAGGAGAGCCAGGGAAACTTCAGGCAGAACCCCCGAGTCCTGAGACGTCCTGTAGAACTCCACATAAGCTCTTGGAGTCAAAACAAACATGGAGGAAAAAACACTTTAATTCTGTTTTATAAAAAAGATGTTAAAAATCAACCAGGTATTTTTTTAATCTTTTTTTTACCTGGAACTGTCAAAGTAAATGTTTTTGACTTGTCCACACAAGCGGAACAGGGACTGCAGCTGCTTGTAGTACAGGAAACTGTAGGGAGGGAGGCTCCTCAACTGAACACCACAGTTACAGAAATCAAATGTAACATGTTCGTTCCATTCACATGTCATTTCAACTGAAGCCACTTCAAACAGTAAACTGTGACTGAGTTACCATCACTGTAGTTCTGGGGTCAAGGCAGATCAGTTCCTTACAGGCCAGTTCTTCATCTATTTCTCCCTGGATGAAGTAGTTGGGGTAATAGGCACCGGCGATCACCACCTGAGACAGGAATATTATATTACATTTTTGAAAAAAAAAGAATTTCTCAAGAGGTCAGTCGAGGGTCAGGGAGGGCACGGTGTTTCATGGTCACAAAAGACAAACATCAACTGTCCACACATTAGTCGACATCAGTGGAACGGTGTGATCTTCTAGCCGACAAACATCACCTGTCCACACATTAGTCGACATCAGTGGTTCTCTATCTTTTTATACCTGAGAAAAACACTGATCTCTCTGAGTACCACCATGATGACCAACCTTAGACTATAGCAGCAGAGGCCTTCACTGTTAGCTTCCACCACAGGAGAGACCTTTAAATGTTGTATTAATTGCACATAGTATGTTTCAGATTTATTCAACTGAAAATGTAAATGTAAAAATATGAATTTTCACCACGTACTACTAGAGAGTGCTCACGTACCACCGGTGGTACACGTACCACAGTTTGAGAACCGCTGGTCTACATCTTATTCTCTGTCTATGAGAACCAATTGTTTTCACATTCAACTGAATGTTGGGGGGTAACATGTACAACATTGTATGTTATCATGCATAGGAAGAACAATAGTTTTTCTGTATCAGGACGAGACATCCGTCAAACCTGAAGGATGAACTTCTGCCTGTGTGTGCTGGTGTAGTCTGACGGCTGACTGTCTTCTGGGACCAGCATGTTGAACTGGGCCACGCGCTTCTTCAGGTCTTCATACAGCTCAGCAACCTGAAGAGAGCAGGAGGGGAGTCACGAGTGTTTTCAACTTCTTAATTAAACTGTACTCTAATAAGTCTGTGTTTCTGATTGGCTCTGGCATTTTAACTAATAGACAGAACAGCTGAGGAATACATTTATGTGGCATCACTACGATTCAAACAGAAATAAAATCCACTTTGTTGACAAAATTACTATTAGCTAGAAAAATAAAACATATATTGTTAGGGTAGAATAATCAGTAAAGTCACGTGACCTCCTTAATCCTCCTGATCTGAATGAAATTCTCTTTCCCCCAGTCCAGCTCATCCTAAAAAGAAGCAAAGAACACGTTTGTTTATCTCGACCAATCTCTATTTAATGATACATTAAATTATTAAACCACTGTTCAAATACTTTCCTATGCTTGCAGATATTTGTCTATTTCCAAAGGTAACAGCAGTGCTAATATTTTGCTTTTAAAATTGAAAAGTTTTGTGTATATAAAACCTTTGGATGTCTCAGCTTTCCTTTGGTCTTCAAAGATTGCCACGCCTACAAGAAAAGACAACATGTCATTGTGTTCATTCACTATCAGCACTTTTTTTTTGTTTTGAATTTGACACAAATTACCCTGAAGGCATTGATGAAGGCTAGAGAATCACTCTGGGAACCACGAGCAAAGGACCACTTGCTCCTGGAATTAAAACGGTAGAAGAAAATCAATTACTGACGTCCCAGTCCAGGGGTCAGCAACCTCAGACAGTGACATTTTTAAGTAAGACTAATTAAAGAAATGCATCAAAGCAGTACAGTGACTTGCTGAACCACAAAGAACACAAAAGGCAATCAGAACGAACGAGCGAGCAGAAACTTGCTGAACCACAAAGAACACAAAATGCACGCTGCTATAGGCAGGCAATCAGAACGAACGAGCGAGCAGAAAATTTAGAACAAGGTCTCAATTTGACTTGTATTAAATTTTATATTCCAATCCTAGACATCAGTCCTGGATGTTGTTTTTTATGTCAATCAAAGTCAAGGTAATTTGATAATTTCACACACATTAAATATGATCTTGCAGGGAGCCAATAAGAAATAGGCTGGTGAGTCACAAGTGGGTCAGGAGCCACAGGTTGTACACCCCCGTCTACTGTAGTTCTATGCAAAAGCTTCACAGTTTATCAAACTGACCATGTTGACCTCTAATACTTCACTCAACACATCACCATAGTTCAGCACAGGTCATCTTTACTGACTCTAAAACCTAACAAAATCCTAAGTGTATCTATAGTTGAGGTGCAGATGTTTATGTGGGTGGAGCTACAGAGCTGTGTGTGACTGACCTGTGACCAGCCAGCTGCTGCATGGACGGTATGGCAAAGAAACTCTTCAGAGAGTTGGAGGCAGCTGAGAATACAGAAGGCATAAATACTGAGGGTTTGTTGTGACAGATTTACTGATCAGTCAACCTAAAGAACTTTTTTACATTCACATGCTGTAACTGTTCAAAAGACCTATGATGAGACACTCATCCAGACAGCCAAAGACATGGCCGAGGACAATCATCTTCCCCAGGTGCAGGTCCACAGGTAAGCGGGCCAGCACTCGACCCAAGAATGTCAGGTCGCCATCTTCATTCCCAGCTGTCCCTCCACATTTTGCAGACAGCGCTCCTATCTGCAGAACAGAGGAAGAAAAGAGAAGTGAAAACCATAAGGAATTTCACTCTCAGAGTCTTCTTTGACTTAAGAGTTTACTCCATGAATTTGTCATAATATATTGTTTACAGATACTGTATTAGTCAGTTCAGGGAGTGACCAGTCATTTTCACAATAGTTGAAAAATAAATGACCCTCCATGTTCAAAAAATCAAATATTAGGTCTAATATGTGTAACACAGCCGAGTTAACAGTTCACCAACACAGGTTCATACTGCATTTGATTTTTTTGTTTTTGTTTTTTCTCTGACCATTTTGAGTTGGAGCACAGTTCTCACGATGTCATAAATGTTAGGGGGTGAGAGAGCACTGGAGAGGAGGGATCGGGGGTCTCCCATGTCCAGCAACTTCACTTTGAGCACAATAGCAGCCAGGGGAGCCAGCTGAGAGGGAAGGATGACAACGTGGCAGAAATGTATTCTGGGTAAAATGGACAAAAATGTGAAACAAAAGAGAAAAAAACAAAACATGGTTTCACCAGCATCTCTGGGATCATATAGTCTGGGATGTCATTCTTCCAGAAGTCTTGAGTGACCAGACGGTAACAGTAGCCCTTAGAGACTCGCCCTGCCCTGCCTGACAGAGTGAGAAGTGGTGGGTAGACACACACACACACACACACACACACACACGGTGGTGAGGAGGTGTTTTTATTTTCACCTCTGCGCTGATTGCAGTTGGTTTTGGACGCCCAGGTGAGACGCAGAGACTGATAATTAGTGTCCGGGTCACAGACCATATGTCGGGCCATGCAAAAGTCAATGACTGTAATGACAACAAGACAAAGACACTGAAAAAAACATTTCATAATCATGTCTGTCAAAGTATATATATTATATAATTATATACCATATTTGACATCAGGAACCGTCACTGAACTCTCTGCGATGTTGGTGGAAAGAATGACCTGTGGAAGAAAAATATCGTCAGTGCAGCAGGTGTTGAGATCTGACTGAAAAAGGTGTAGAAGGTGTAGATGTTACCTTTCTGTATCCAGGGACGGGATCTAATGTTACCTTTCTGTATCCAGGGACGGGGAGCAGGAACACACCGTTCTGCTCCTCCTGGAGCACAGTAGAGTGGAGCGAGTACACCTGTAGTCTGTCGTGATAAAAGGTAGTACTCAATTATTGTCTGTCATCCCCTCCTTGAGGACAGAAATGTTTTCACGCACTGCCCACAACCCACACCTCCGTGAATGTAAATACTATTGAGAATCTAATACCATACTGTCTATATTTTTATCTGTACAAACCACTGTATGAGTTGCTGCCACCTAGTGACTGGAGGCTTGTTATGACTGAAGCATTATAGCAGTGGTACACTGATGTCCAGCATGTCATATTCCATTGGAAGACCCTCACCCGTGTGTGAGCAGTATTTGAGAAGTACTGCTCTGAGGACAGGGTGTCATTCCTTACATGACCTGCAGGTATTAACCTTTTTTTGTCCTTCATTGGCTCCACTGACTGGTTGAATATGCAGTAAAACTCACCTCTTGTGGACCAGTTTGGCCAAGGCCTCCTTCATGTAGTTTATCTCATACAGACCAGGGAGGAAAACCAGAACACTGCCCCTCTCTGGAGAAGTCACGCCACTGTGCTTATGAGCTTCTCTGCTAACATAAGAACAAAAGTCAGTATCAAACTGGATAAATGAGGTACTGCACTCTCTAGTGGTATGTGGAGAAAATTCATATTTTCACATTTACATTTTCAACTGAATAAATCTGAAACATATCATGCACAATTAATACAACATTTAAACACAAACATCTTTATGAACGTTTCTAAACATCTCCCCTGTGGTGGACGCTAACAGTGAAGGCCTCTGCTGCTGTATGCTACTGTTGGTCATCATGGTGGTACTCAGAGAGATCAGTGTTTTCTCAGGTGGTACAGAGTAGAAAAAGTTTGAAAACCACTGCCCTAGAGTATTCCGTACAGCATTTTATCATTGAACACATGATAACAATCTAGCATGAAAACCTTAAATTAGTTTGAGAAAAGAAAGATTCTGTTAACATCTCACATCGTTATCTTTACAGGCACTTTTAGCATTTTTAAAATTAAAATTAAAAACATTTACATTGAGTTGATGTAACAGTGTGATAGAATACACATATTAGATATATAGAGGCAGAGGAAATAGAAAAGCAGACAACAGTGTCAGGAGTCATTTCTTCAGGGAGAATTGTTGTTGTACCTGGAATCTCTTCCCTCTAACTCATCAAAGCTCTGGATCAGACTGAGGGCCAGATTATACAGCTCCCATGAGATACAAGGGTCGTCCAAGGTAAAGGTCACGGTCTGGTTAAGAAACATATCCATAACTTTAATATAAACATTCCTGTCTGACAATTTAAAGAACATCAACGTCATCGTCCTGTTACCTTGGACGGCAGCAGGTGCTGCAGGTCGTCCAGATAAAACTGCTCAACAGCGTACGGCGCACCCTCCACCTCGAACACATAAGCTGGGTTCATAGTGCCTCGCACTGGGGTGGCAAAGTACTCTGCAAACTGTTTGCAGTTAATGGTTGCAGACATCAGAATGATCTTGGGGGGTAAAAAAAAAAAAAAACCTTAGAAACAATGACTGAGAATATACAGAAGAATGAAGAAAAACTTTTGTTTAATATCAAGTCTCACTTTACCTTGACGAAACGAGAGTTAGAATGAAGGAGTTTTCTTAAAACCAATATGAGAAAGTCCAACTCCTCGGTGCGCTCGTGGACCTAGGGCACAGGAAGAGGTAGTTAATGGATACTTTACCCTTTAAGAGGACCTTTGCTGAGGAGTGGGATATGAAATAATAATAAAATGTGTCCAAGTCCAAATAACCTTCAATTCTAAAGTATTTGAATATGTTTTTCACAAAGCCAGTGTGGTGCAGAAATACTGATCCATTTCACCTCATCTATGAAGATGTGGGAGAACTCCGTGAGGCATTTCACAGAAACCACTTTTTGCAGAAGTACTCCGGTCGTCATGTAGATGAGGCGAGTGTGTTCAGTCGCCATTTTTTCCAATCCGACCTGAGGAAGAAATGGACCGGATTTTTTAATGAGATGGATTTTTGCTGTTAGACTTCTTAAGACTCAAATTGTTACGGATTTTTTAATGAGACACATTTTTGCCGTTAGACTTCTTAAGACTCAAATTGTTATCATATTAAAACTTTATGAATTTTACAGTTTGTTTGTGATACTTGTTTCCTACATTACCACACTAGAATCTTATAATACACATCATTACTCCAAAACAAAACTCCATGTTACAAACTTTGAAAAATCTTTAAAAATCTTAGCAATATCATTTCACACGAGTTTCCAGTTATAAGCACAGAAAGGCTCAAGACTGCCACTGTCATGACTGCTGGTGTTTGTAGAAACTACCAGTGACCAGGAGTAAGAGGTCTGTGTTTCTGGGTCTGTCCTCAGGGATCAATATGTGCTGCACTAAAACTAACAGTTTATGAAAACAAGACTCCAAGAATGACACTAACCTGATAGCCCACCAGACTACCCAGGGTGCACTTGCGCTGTGACGCGACCCATCTCGCAATGCTGGTGGCCCCGATTTTGCGCGGCTGAGTGACCACGATGTTGCACGGGGCATTTTTCTCACTGTAGTGGTCCAGTATGAACTGAGGCAGCTGAGTGGTCTTTCCACTGCCTGTGCATCCTCGGACGATCACCACAGAGTTGTGTTCTATGAAGGAAATCAGCTGGAAATGTGCCGGGACGACAAAGATAAAGTCCATTAGAGCCACTGTAACAAGTCATAGGATGGAAGAGGAGAATAATAAGAAGCAGAAGATGTATGTCGTAGGATAGAAGAGGAGAATAATAAGAAGCAGAAGAATGGGCTGAGCCTACGTTAGCTAGATCCAACAGCAAATACATTAAAAATATCTCCTAATCCACTGAAATGCACTTTAGCTGCTGTTTTATTCTTTATGTATTATTTTATATATTTTTTATTATTATTAATTTGCTTCCTCAATTTAATTTCTATATTATGTTGGGCAAAAAAGGCATTAAGTAATAATCAGGATTCCTTGTACTATTTATATTTTCTGAATAAACAACACAAACAAACACCATTTAGAATGCAATGAATTTAAAAAAATAAAATTAATGAAACTACATGGAAAAGAGTGTGAACTTATGTATGGATGAAACAAACCTGCTGTCTGTATTTGGTTATCGGCAGACTGGGATACTCATAACTACCAAGTGTAGGAGGCGCTGCACCTGGAGAAGGAGGATTTTTTACATGTCAAAAACACTGTGTCACAATAGACCAATAGTTCAAACTGATGGAGAAATAGAGCTGTGTCATTGATACTGTATGGAGTTTATGGTTCCTTCATGGTGCTGAATGTCTGCATTTCTGACTGAATGATAAATATGTTGGATTTGTGTTAATGTGAAATCAAAGACAGTTAAAATTTGTGGGGAAAGAAATACAGGAAAAAATATTTTAAAAAATTGTCCAACCACATAAATAATTGCATTTCACAAGAAAAAAATTGTATAATCAACCACATAAATAATTGCATTTCACAACCCAAAAATAAAAACCTTAATTTTTATAGCATGTATGCATTAAAATATAAACACATGAATACGTTTGCTAATCAAATTTGCTTAGAATACAATTTAAAATGTGTTACATTTATACGTGGCACAATTTAGAGTTCAATTTAAAAACATAATTTTATACAATATATCATTTATAAGAGGGTCGCTACTCAATCTTTCCTTCAGTTTAGAGGTCCCTGCTCTAAAAAGAAACATTCAGACCCCCCAGTTCTACATGTCTGTACAGTTACTGTCATTGAATAAAACTTAAAGGAGTTTAATACGCACCTGCTGCAGGTTCACATTTGTGGATTTTGTTTTCGTCAGATTTCACATCGTTTTCCTGAACCACAGATAGACTGAAAAACGAAGAAAACAAAACAGAGTATTAAGTGACTTGACTAACTATGACTTAACACACTGAACTGTACTGTCGGACCTGGTCACTATTCAAAATGCAAGAAGAGCAGCACCTAGTGGAGATAACAAGTATCACAGTTTGTCATAATCGCTAAATGACGCACTTTATTCACAATGCCTGGCATCGAAAAACAATATTTTCAGTAGATGGCAGAGGAGGATAAACATATTTGTACTTATTTAACATATTTCTTCAATACTGTAACCAAAACTACGGAGGCACTCGTTTATAGTATTCATGTATTTAGTTTATCTTAAGAATTCGCAAATAATTATTTAACCGAAAGCTTTCAATGTGTTATTTTTCCTGCGTTGTATTTGGCATTTAATGCTATAAATATAAAAACACGCTAAACTTAATTTAAATAATACTCCCACATTGTTTCATGACGTATGTTACAACCTTAATTGCGTTTAAAATTTGTTTTCGGTTGAACTTGCTAAAGCAACTGTGGTATTTTTGTATCGTTTCTCGTGTTTTATTATCTACGTTATATTGTTTCATTACTTACATCGTGCCACCTGCGCTAACGAGCACGAGTTAAGCTAACTAAAGTAGCAATTAGCAACTTACCCGCTCACTTCAGACGCTGCCTCGTCTACGTCTTTCTCGGTCGCCTCTTCCATCAGTTTAACTTTAGCAAACGTTGCTCCCGATGTGAACCAGTCAGAAATTTGAAATTTGTTTGTCTTCATCGCGTTAGTGTTTAACATCTTTTATAAAAGGTTAGACTGAAAAGTCTGTCGACGGCTTTCGGTCCGACAGGTGCGAATTTACTCACGACTCCCCCTGGCGGTAAATTAAAAATACTTGAATAATTATTGTAAAACTACATAATGAAACCATGGTGTTCCACTTTCCCCCGGGTTTCTTGCAGGTTTCACATTACATACAAGCCGAAGTTTAACCTTGTTAAATCAATAAACATACACTAGAAAGATTATTATTATATTTATTATTAAAGATGATTACCTTTTGGATTTTGTTTAAGTTTGTGCAAGGTCAAAGACTAAAATTGTCTGGCCTCCTGGTGATCACTCTTCACCCACGTTAGAATATAAAGCAGCTCATTACAAGAATATCAAATACCAAACTATTCTTTCTGCAAACTGAAACTGTCTTTCTTAATTTCCTTTTTTCTTCACCACACAAAAATTACAAGAAACACACCCACAGAATTGTACATGTAAAAATGACAGACAATACTATAATATACTATAATAATATACTATAATAAAAATATTTTAATCACAGTATTCTGGAGAATGAAAATGTCAGACACGGTTAGACAATAAATTGCTACCACAGCATAAGAAATGAGCACCAAAGAATGATGAACAAGTCAAATGTCCACTTTCACGTTGAGGTGTTTTTCAGCATCGTTTTCAACTGCCATTTTGTGTAAATGTATTGAGGTGTGGTTGATGAAAGACGAGCCAACGTTGTCACAAGAACAATAGAAACTAAATTTTTACACAGAAACTGTAAAATGTTTAAGATATGACCATATCACCTGTTAAAAAGACAGAAACAAAATCATTAATCAGATATTCTATATTTTAAAAAGAAGTGGGGAAAAAACCCCAAAAAACTCAGGAACTCCGTTACGTCTGGGAAGGTATAAAAGAGAAAATGTTTAAGATTAGGAATTTATGTCATATCTATCTGTGGGAATCCACTGCTGTTTTGCAACAAGCTCATCTCTGTACGGAGCTTTTCATTCTCCTGGAAAACAAAAGAAGTGTAACTAAGGTTAGACACAAAATAATAAGAGATTAAAAATAAAAAAATTAAATCATAGATTACCTCTTGAAGTCTGGTATTCTCTTTTTTTAGTTTCACCAAATATTCAATCCTCTGTTTGAGGTTCTTGTGTCCAACGAGTTTCCCGTTCTCCTCTGACAGCTTCACATTCTGCTTACGGAGAACGTCATTCTCCTACAAAAACAAAAAAAAAAAAACAGAATTAAACTCAAATCATATTAGCAGTAAATTCATAACATTATTTTCTCAGGGGTCACCAGAACCTTGTGACGTCAAAATGGGGACACAGGCCAAAAAAACAGGTTGACAACCACTGTGGTAAACCCTGGTTATCATCCAGTTGAAACTGATTTAAATACAAGTCTTACATGGAGCAGTTTCTCCTCATCCTGAACCCTCTGGGTCAGATCTCTCAGCTCTAAGCAGCGGTTCCTCAGCTCAGTGGTCAGCTCCTGGACACAGGTCTGAGACTGAGCCAACATGGACTCCTGGGTCTGCAGCCTGTGAAGAAAAAAAAACAAGTCACACAGACTTGATAAACATCTACCTACAGTGAAACATTCTCCTGAATGTTTGTCTTTAAAAAAACAAAAAAAAAAAAAACACAAAAAAAAAAAGACACTCACCTTTGTTGTGTATTGGTCAGTTTCTGACTGACCTTTGTTGTGTATTGGTCAGTTTCTGCAGTAGGTTATTCTGTTCACGGAGGTCACAAACACATATTTTACTTTAATCACTAAAAATATTAATTAAAAAACAAATGGAACTAAATAAAACTAAGATAAATACCTTCTCTGCTCGCTCCTCCTGCAGCTCGTTAAGGATTGTGTCCTTAATGGCATCGTTCAACTCCTCACTGAAAAATAAAATGATGCAATTATACATTTGGAAATGACCTTACAGTTACTCATACATACATATATATATTTAAGTAACTATGACACCTGTTGTAGATATAATAGGTAATAATACATATATATGTATATGCATATATATGTATGTGTATATATGTATATGTGTATGTATATACACATATACATACACATATACTGTATGTATATACGACCAAATAAAAAGAGCCCCACTTGTTCTTTCCATTCCCGCCCAGCGAGTTCTGTTTAGTGTAAAACTTGTCGAGCAGGGCTTGGATTTCCATGCGGACCATTTCCTTTTCCGTCAGCTGGGTCTGAGGAGAGAGGATCACACAGGAATTTAACTTTTTAGATGGTTTCCTGTCAGCCCCAAAACAAGTTATCAAACCTGCTAAAGCTCTGACTTTTAAACGATTATAGTTGAATATAAAAAAACTACACATCACCTTAAGCCTCTGGATCTCTTCGTTCTTTGCGGCTCT